TCTGGTATTGGATTAGGTTCTGGTGTTGGGTCAAGTTCTGTCGGTGGATAAGGTTCTGGTATTGGATTAGGTTCTGGTGTTGGGTCAAGTTCTGTCGGTGGATAAGGTTCTGGTATTGGATTAGGTTCTGGTGTTGGGTCAGATTCTGGTTTTGGGTCAGGTTCTGTTAGTGAGTCAGATTCTGTCAGTGGATCAGAGCCTGATGTTGAATCAGGTTCTGGTATTGGATTAGGTTCTCTTGTTTGGTCAGGTTCTGGTGTTGGGTCAGGTTCTGGTGTTGGGTCAGGTTCTGGTGTTTGGTCAGGTTCTGTCGGTGGGTCAGGTTCTGGTGTTGGGTCAGGTTCTGCCTGCTAATTGGATCCAGAATTAAAGCTGCTAGCAAAAAGCATTGTAATAAAATCCATTTAGAAATGAATTCCTCTTTCCTGGTGATGATCAGAATGTGATTCTCAGCTTTTAGATTTGGTTTCTTTTTCTTTTGGGTTTTTAATCTTCAGTCAGATTTTTCCACATCTTTCCGATAACGAATTCACTTCTGAAGGACCTTCTGTTCACAGACCAGTTTTAGAACCCCTCCAATATTTTTTTTACTGAAAGAGAATGATTTTCCTTTAGCAGCTATTCTTGGTGGTCTGTTTTCTTCTTCTGCTGTACATACAGTACAGCATCACCCCCACCCCCACTCATTGAAAATGTATGATAGCTTAATCTCGGAAAACAGTACCAGAAAAACTCCACTGTATCCATGGCAACGGTTGCCCTACACGCCTGGGGGTAACATGTGGATGTGTGTTGGATGTTCATTCAGAACCTGGTCAGCCGACATGCAGAAGAGACTTTCACACATGGAGCATTTAGATGACGGGCAGCTGTATCGGCGTGACGTAACTTAATCTAGAGCAGGACACCTGATCCCCAGCCTCCTCCTCCTCCTCCTCCTTCTTAGCAGATGGGCACATTCACTGTCAGAATCTCACAGATTCATACATTCCTTTACATTAAGGTGTGAGGATGAAGGAAGAAGGATGATGATGAAAGACAGGGAAGGCATAAACATCCCAAAGTGTTTTTTGGCACTGGTGTAAAACTCTTTGGAGAGAAAGTTGGGGGTTTTTTAGTACTGCAGCCATTCTTGGACTTTTAAGGTTTGACTGGAGAAGTAAACTCTTCATGGGGCGACAGCTGGTTTGATTCCAGCTTCCACACTGGTCAAATTATCCATATTTAGCTGTATGAACCTAGGACTCCCAACTGAGCTGAGGTGCTGACTGCTTGCTTCCCCTGACCATTTGTGACGTGTCTCTACCTAATAGAGTTCATCGGTGGTAAAGTCAAGGAAGAAATGTGCACACCTGTCTATCTAAGGTCCCACAGTCATTGTCAGAGGGCAAACACCAAGCATGAAGTCACAGGAGTTCTCTGTACATGTCTAACATTATGGTCTGGAGGCACAAAAGAGGAAAAATCCAAAACATTTCTCCTGCTTTTTTTCTAATGAGGACAGTAGCCCCCCATCACTGATAAGTGGACAAAGTTTGGAACCAAAGGGACATAAAAGGACCTCAGTCAGGGAGCCAGGCCCCCTATCTGAGCTCCTCTGTACAGAAATGGACTGCTTTGAACCTTATTAAAAGACAAATGGCAGCCTGTCCGGAGTTAACTAAAGGGCACATGAAGGATTCTAAGACCAAGAGGAAAAAAAAATTCTGGTGGTAAGAGACAAAGGGTGCACTCTTTGGTGTGAAAATCAGTTCCTCATGTTTGGAGGAACCAGAGGCTTCTTATCATTAGGCTAATACCATCCCTACAAGGAGGCATGGTGGTGGCAACATCATAATGTGGGGAATTTTTCAACAGAGTAGTCAGAATAGAGGGAAGGATGAATGCAGCAATGTACAGGGTTGTCCTGGATGAGAAGCTGCTCTAGACCTCAGACTGAGACCCAAAGCCACAGCTAAGACCTCAAAGGACTGGATCAGAACCACTGTGTGAATATCCTGGAGTGACCAAACTTATATCTGAATAACTATTTCTGGAGCGACCTTCTTCACAGATGTTTTCCCAGCCAACCTGACAAAGCTTGAGATGTTCTGCAAAGAAGAATGATCTGAACTGATCCTAAAGATGGGTGAACTGAGCTGGAGGCACAGATCCAAAGACTAGAGGCTGGAACTGTTGCCAAAGGGGGGATCAACATGCTGCAACACAGCAATATTTTAATGGTTCCTTTTATTTTCTCCCTAATGAGCTGCATGTTTTCCTTAAAATTACTCCTGCCTAAGAAAACATCTACCTGCTCATATATTCATTTTAAAATCACTGAAATATGTTTGGATTACAAGAACATCCATCCATCCATCCATCCATCCATCCATCCATCCATCCATCC